TTGTAGAAGCAGGTTTGCGCTGAGGCTTAAACATCTCATTAGGATCACACAATTCATGCCTGCGCACATCTGTATGAGTAGACCTTTATGCAATCTCTCTCAGTGGCCCAAAGTGTTCTGCTGAAATGATGGGAATCGGTGCAATTCCATGTAGCCTTGGGTTGGATATTTCTCATTCACAGATAGCTTAGACATACATGTTACCCATGAAGACAATTCCATTGAATCTGGTGGCGCCGCTTGGGTGTTACTTGAGCCCAAGTAACAGTGATTTTCAATTTGGAGGTGGAAGCGGTTTCAGTTATTGGTATATTTATGCTTCAGAGTTGATAACATATCTTGAATTGTAGCATAAACTGAAACTAGTCCTAGCTTTGTAAACAAAACCACACCCACATTAGCCACTGTAATTAGCCACTGTTCTATAGCAATGAGGCTAACCTGTGTCCCTCCAGCTCTTGGTGGACTCTGACTCCTGCCCTATATCTGACTGTTGGCCAGGCAGCCCAGGATTCATGGGAGTTGGAGTCCAACAACAAGTAGAGGGCTGCAGGTTAGCGACCCCTGTTTTTAAGGAGAGTTAAACAATTCCAAATAATGCAATGGGCATATAAATGCATCAGATGAAAATGACTATGACATCCTCTGCATTGTCCCTCATGCATGTAGGGACTAAGTCCTTCTGCAGTTGGGGGGGGGGGGAGAATGCTGACATCACATGTGCCATGGCCTCTTAAAGTACAGTGGTGCCCCGCAAGACGAATGCCTCGCAAGACAAAAAACTCGCTAGACGAAAGGGTTTTGCGTTTTTTGAGTCGTTCCGCAAGACGAATTTCCCTATGGGCTTGCTTCGCAAGACGAAACGTCTTGCGAGTTCTTGCGAGTTTGTTTCCTTTTTCTTAAAGCCGCTAAGCCGTTAATAGCCGCTAAGCCGGTAAGCCACTAATAGCCGTGCTTCGCAAGACGAAAAAACCGCAAGACGAAGAGACTCACGGAACAGATTAATTTCGTCTTGCGAGGCACCACTGTACTTTCACTTGAGTTTACAGGGGCTTCTGTACTGGAAATAATTAGATCCCGTGAACAAAAAGAAAGCAAAACTTTTTTACATTGCTGAGCTGCTGAAAGAAAAGCAAGGGCACCTAATTAATGTTACACATATGGCACCCTTTGAGGAATGAATGTGATTCCCTTTGCAAGTGGCAGCCCGACCATACTTGTGTCACCAACCCAGCTGCTAATTAAATGGTATTCACTTCTGGTTGTACGACTCTTGAGCAGCTTTCGCATTTTGTAGGAGCCCTGTAATTAAGGCAGAGGGGGGAAACCCTATGAATTCTGCATTGTGTGTTACATTCTAGTCGCAAGAGCTTATTTTCTCTGATATACTATACATGTTATTTTTACCAACCAGTTGCTACAGATTATTACAAAGGCACTTTGAGAAAATAGTTGTGGCTTTTTCTTTTTCTAAAAGGTGTTTATAAGGAAGTCTAGAGAAAGACAGGGAGAAGATAATGTTCCATATACACACAAGCTTATTGAAGACAGTGGGATGTGCGCAAGCTGAAAAAAGGACTTGTGCCATTTTTACTTGGATTCAGAGAAATGAATTAACTGTTTTTAATCTTCTTTAAATAGGAAAATATCAATTTAAGAAGGGAAAGGGGGAAGTTATTACAAATTACAAACAGGACCTTAGAGAAGAGCCCTTTCCTGCAGCCCATCACCCAAGTTTGCAATAAGCCAAGGAGTGGGTTGGGTTTGTTTCTCAAGCATTCTCCCCTCCTTGCCTAAGTTAAGGTCACCAGATTTTTTTCAATGAACCTGGAGACACTTTTCAACTCCAGTGGATTTTGTATGGGGACTGATTTGTAAATTCTGGGACTGTCCTTGGGAAACGGGGATGTCTGGTAACCTTAGCCTAGGTGCCAGTTCAGATTAGAGGATTTGGGGCAGATATCTCCTTCACAGTCTCCCAGGGTAAAGGGCAAGTACCTTTCTCAGAGTACTTGCTACATATATGATGTATGATGAGGACATCAAGTAAGATTTGATTGTATTTTGAAGTTCTGAATGATTATGCTGGGTTCAGCATTCAAAACATTGACATTAGGAGTGAGTTGTTTCCTATTTATTAATATTTGGAACCTTAGCTTTTAAAAAAACTGTAATGTTTCTAGAGTGTTTGTATGGTAGGTATAATGTAGCTGATGGAACTTCCTTCTTGAAGCAAATGCCTTAACAAATTGCTGGGGTACTATGGTTCTTTTGATTTCATTTCTCAACCCCTACTTTCTGCTCCCTACAGTTTGGCTTTACATCCGAGGAAAGACATTGTTGTTACTGGAAGTGATGACCGCCTGTGGAAGATGTGGGCCTTTCCCAATGGGAACATCATCATGAAGGGTGAAGGTCATACTGACTGGCTTTCTGGGTGCTGCTTCCATCCAAGGTCAGTAAAAGCAGCATTGTGAACCAGTACTAATCCCTTCTGGGAAAGTGCTTGTTTGCTATGCCTTTTCTAGCCAGTCTGCTTTGATGACTTTCTATTCTGAGTGGATCCTTCTGCTGAATTTCCAAACATGTAGATAAATGTTCCTTTGCCTTTCACTGTGTTGACTTAAGATTGATTGCTTTCAGTATTTTGTACATTTCAGACTTTTGTCCACATGCTTGTGCATCTCACAAAGTGTAATAAGCTTTTCAGATCTCTCCATGCCAGTCTCTCTGCTTATCACAAGGCTGAATTAGATGCATACTTAAAATCACCTATAAATACTGCAATTGGCTTTTTAAGTGTTTATTTTATTTCTCCAAATGGTATCTATTTTCTCACCCATGTTACCTAGAGAACAAGTGCATCAACCTTTCCCTAAAACTTCTCCCACCATGACTTAAGAAAAAGAAGCAGTGATTTAAGACACTGAGATAGCCAACAACTCATCGCATTTATTTACCATTAGAAATCAGGCAGGTAATGCAGTTTTGCTCGGGAAAAGACAGTGTTCATTCCTCTTTCTCTCTCTCTCAGTATAACTAAGGGCAATTTCATAAACCCTTTTGACTGCTTATTTGCACAATTAACTGGGCATGTGAGTGGTTTATTAGCATAAGACTCTATAGTCAGAGAAAGGAGCTCATTCAAAATCTTAAGGACAAGCAGATCTAAGTGTCATCTGAATTGGACATTATTAGTTGCTTAGTCAACTCTCTCTCTCTCACCCACACACACACCACACACAGTGGTGGGGATGGAGGATCTTTCCTTTCATCTGATACCCTCTCTCCACTCCTTTGCTACCCTTTCCCTCCTGCTCAGCCCTCCTTCTGCTTCTGCTTGCCTCTTACTTTTCCCCTGCTTCTTCAAAGGTTGCCACTGCTACTTCCTATTGTTTGCCCTGTTCTGGGAAATCCTTGGTTGCACTGGCGACACCTTGACATACACTCCTTTGACTTGCTTGTTCACTGAAACATCAGGCCAAATGGCCAAATGGCATCTGCTTCTGCTGCAGACTGTCACTTTACCTGGGAGGTTCCTTGTGTGCAACAGACAGAGTCTGTCTTCTCTCCAGTTCCACATCTTGGTAGTGGATAGGAGGAACCAATGCTTAGTGTTACTAGACTACCACTGCATCTGGGATCTGGTGGTGATGAGTCCTTCCCAGCTTCATAGTTCTGCCACAGTGCATGTGCTTTGCATGTAGATGCTCCCAACTTAAGTCCCCAGCATTTCTAGTGATGGGAAAGATCTCTTCCAAAGACCCCTGGAGAGTAGACAGTACTAGACCAATGATCTTACCCAGTATAAGCAGGATCAAATGTTCCATTGAAAAGGCATCAGGAACACCATTGATGGATTATCTATCAAAGTATCACCCATACATGAAGTTGTGGGCAGGATTTTAAATATAAGCAGTGGATTTAATGATAGTGAAGTTCAGATAATATAAACATATATATATTGCAAAACAGCTAATAAAAAGAAGTAAAAAAACAAACATCAGGTGAGATGAGGTGGGAAGTCTAGAAGTACTTTTTTTCCAGAAAATTGTGTATGACATTAAATGTTTGGGAGTATTTTTGGAGATTTTAAAAAATGTTAAGAACAAAATGGCATCCGGACAAAATAGCAGGTCACTGCCACTTCTGTACAAACTTAGAGGAAGCAGCTTTTTAGTGTGGCAGCAGCAGTGGGTGGTGGGTTATTCTACTCAGAGAAGGTGTGTACAAGGCAAATTATAGAAGATGGTAACAAGGCATTCTCCTTCCTCCCCCCCCCAACATACTAGGCTTCCTCCTCAAGCCATCCTGTAGCTATAGCTGCTGCATCTGTATGTTAACTTTGGCAGTGGGCTGTCCTTCCTGGGGCTTGTAGCTAAAATTTAACTGTTAACTATGGGCTACTTGAATTAAGGGAGGCTTAGAGGTGAGGGATTGTTTTGAATTCTCCCCCCATCCCATGAACACTGTCCTTCACAAGATCAGGAGTTAGAGCTTGCCTTGTGAGGTAAGATCTCCTGTCCCAATACACCCCACTTCCATTTGTTTGATGCTGTGAACATTGCAGCATCTATGAAGGAAGGGTATGGTCAATTTGATGGAGGGAGTGGGGAGTCTATCACAGGACCTTGGAGCATGAGCAATGGTTCACTGTAGGTAGGAAGGGTGGCAGAGAGGCAGGGAGAGCTTGGATATTGAGCATGGAGGTGGACCAAAGGCTAAGTGACTGAAAGAAGGGAGGAAGGTTAGCAGTAACGGACTTATGTTGCATTTTGTATTATTGCATTTTGTAAGTTTTATGAATGACTGAATAATAACAATAAATTAGAAGAATAGTTGAGAATAAAAGAATAAATAAAAAATTATTATTATTATTATAGTTGGAAGAGGCAGAGCCCAAAGGGAAATGGGAAAAGAGGCAAGGAAAGGAAGAGTAGATAGGAGTTACTGTTGAGCGACTTCACACATGGCAGAAAGGGTTGGGTTACTGTCGACAAGCTTGAGAGCTAGCTCAGTTGGTAGAACACGAGACTCTTAATCTCAGCGACATGGATTTGAGCCCCATGTTGGGCAAAAGATTCTTGTGTTACAGGGGATTAGACTAAATGACCCTTCTGGGTCCCTTCCTATTCTGCAATTCTATGACTCTGAGACTGAGGGACTTGTAAACACTGAAGCAATGAATCCTAAGATATAGGCGTGTGTCTCTGTGTTAAATTACACATATGAATAACCAGCAAAATCATTGTCCCATTTACTGTTGAGGTATAAATGTTTGTGGGCTCCCCTTAAGATGGCAGGTAGGGACGTGGGTGGCGCTGTGGTATAAACCACTGAGCCTACAGCTTGCCAATTGGAAGGTCCGCGGTTCGAATCCCCGCAACGGGGTGAGCTCCCGTTGTTCGGTCCCTGCTCCTGCCAACCTAGCAGTTCGAAAGCACATCAAAGTGCAAGTAGATAAATAGGTACCGGGTACCGCTCCGGCGGGAAGGTAAACGGTGTTTCCGTGCACTGCTCTGGTTTCGCCAGAAGCAGCTTAGTCATCCTGGCCACATGACCCAGAAAAACTACGGACAAATGCCGGCTCCCTCAGCCTGTAAAGCAAGATGAGCGTTGCAACCCCAGAGTCGTTTGTGATTGGACTTACGGTAACTGTCAGGGGTCCTTTACCTTTCGGGTCTGCTATGACTGAACATTCTTCCACTTTTTTGCAGGGCGAGGAACCCTTCACATAAAAAACCAACATCTCAGGTAGAAGGCTAAACTAGAACTCTTTTACATGACACACTAGTTTTCTATGGGCAGAGTGTTTTAATATGGAGGAGCTATCCATCATGTGATTCCCACCAGCCGTGCTCTTGACAGAGGTTTATACTTCAGTGAGAACTAAGCATTTTAATACATGTCGCTAGTATGTTTGGTTGTTTTGCTTCTGGGAGGGTGGTGCATAGATGCATGTCTGTCAAAATATTCTAGTTGATTATGTAATGTAGTTCCTACTGGACCAGTCCTAAGAACATCAAAGTAATTTATGGAATAAAGGGGCGGGGGCAATTGGAAGAGAACACTGCCCCTTGTAGCGCTGCTGGGCATACTAATAAGATTTTGATCCTGTATTGTTACCATGGCATCCAGTGACTCGGCCTCCAAGGATTTCTCATTAGTCTTTGACCAACACACTTTTCAAAAGGCTTTCTTCTTTTTCACTCAGTTATTAAAATTAAAATAAGCCAGTCTGAATTTATTTTCACCGCATGGTATTGAAAGAATAGGAAAAAAGCTGCTGTTATTTTTGTACGTCGTTGAAGTCATGCAATATATGAATATGGAATTCACACATTTCTTCCAATTTAGGGTTTTACTAAGAATGCAGCATTTAATAGGATTTAAATTCTAACTTTATGTTTGGTTTGTAAGTGTATCCTTGTAAGTGACTGAGCAGCAACCAGGCGGGCTCCTCTAACAAGGACTGAAGGGAAATAATGGTTAGGCTGCTATAGTCAGGATGGCTTTTTTTCAGAGATCCATAGCAAATTAAGGGATGTTGACCTAACATGTTGTCAGGAGCATTATTTTTAATTTTGAAACCATATTTTATGATACAGATTGTCTTTTCTTCCTTGTTTGCGTGGCGAGTCCCCCCCCCCCCGGAAATAAAGACACATGACACAATTATTAAGGTTAATGGGCTAAATAAGGCCACAACTTTATTGGTCACAGGTGATGAGTGGTATTGGCTTAGCCTCAATTCTTATTTCAGCACGAGAAAGGCAGAACTTTAGGTGTAGAAATACTAACAAAAGAAGGAAATATAGTGGTGGGAATATACGCCCTGAACAATAGAAAGGACACATTTTTTAGGAATTTAGAAGAGAGACTATGGGATTATGTGGGAGAAAATGTAGTAATCAGGGGGATTTAAACGGGGTGACATCTATAGAAATGGATAGAACACAAAGAGACAGAACATCTAATTCAGGTAGACTACCACTCTCCTTCTTTCATTTAACTGAAAATTTTAATTTATATGATGCCTGGAGAACAAAAAACCCAAGTGTTAAGGATATAACTTACTATTCAGAGGCAAAAAAATATGGGGGACGAATCAATGCAATTTGGTTATCAAAGAAATTGATGTTGAATTTAGATAAAGCAGAAATATTGAACAGATCTATATCAGATCATAATCCAGTATCAACTCACATGAAATTTAGAAGTCATACTAAGGGGAGGTGAAGAATGAATGATGAGGTATGGAGAGACGAACAAAGGGTATTAAAAGCAAAAGAAACATTGAAAGAATTTTTTGAAATAAATGAAAATCATGGTACAGACAAGAAAATAATCTGGGAGGCAAGTAAAGCTTACATGAGAGGATATGCAATACAACAAATGGGGAAAATAAAGAGAAATAAAGAAAATAATATTATGGAGATAAATAAACAAATAAGAGAGAAAGAAAAAGAACTAGTAAAAAATCCAAAAATGAAGACACACTCCAGCACATAAAGAATCTACAAACTCATTTATCCAATTTAATCAATAGAGAAGCTGGGGAAAAAAATTATCTGGACAAAACAAAGATACTTTGAACAGGCAAATAAACCCAGCAGAATGTTGGCATGGCTTATTAAGGAAAGGCAAATAGAAAGAGTAATAAATTGAATTATAGATGAAGAAAAAGAAATTATTGAACCGGAACAGATTAAAGACAGATTTATAAAATATTATTAAAAATTTTATAAAGCGGAACAGAAGGAAGAAAAGAAAATTCAAAAATATCTGTTAGAGAACAGCTTACCAGAAATTAATGAAATGGAATATGCCAGCTTAAATTCAAATATTGAATTAGAAAAAATAAAAAAGTGATAAAAAATATGAAAGAAGGGAAATCACCAGGACCAGGCGGAGTCTCAGTGACATACTATAAAAAACTAGAATAATTGCACCAAAATTAAAATTAATTATGAATGAAATACTAGAGAAGGGAGAAATACCAGACTCTTGGCAAGAAGCATTAATAACCCTACTCCCAAAACTAGGTGCAGATTCGAAATTAATTAAAAATTATAGACTAATCTCCCTATTAAATATAGATTATAAAATGTTCACAGGTGTTTTAGCAAACAGAATGAAAATTTTGTTAAAAAGAATAATAAAGAAAGACCAAGCCGGGTTTCTACCAGAGAGGCAAATTAAACATAATACCAGAGTAATCATAGATTTACTAGAATATGTGGAAATGAGACCAAGTAAGAAAATAGCAATGCTGCTGGTAGACTCCGAAAAGGCATATGATAGTGTATCATGGACTTTTTAATTAAAACTTGTAAAAGTTTGAGAATAGGAAAGAGAATTATGAATGGAATTCAGGTAATTTATAAAAAACAAAAAGCTAAATTAATTATAAATAATGAAATTACGGAGGAATTTGATATTGAAAGAGGGACAAGACAAGGATGCCCCCATCACCACTTCTATTCATTACAGTATTGGAAACATTACTAATAGCATTAAGGAAAGATAAAGAAATAAGGGGTATAAATTTGGAAACACAATGTTACAAAGTTAAAGCTTTTGCAGATGATGTAACAACCGAAACTCCAGTAGAAAGCATTCAGAAAGCTCACAAGTCAAAATTGTTAACAAAAAATATGGGGGAGAAAGATAGAATTGAATTAGAGAGAACAACAGGATTAAAAATAGAGAACAAGGTAAATTACTTAGGGGTATGGATCACAAATAAAAATACGAATTTGTTTAACGACAATTATATTAAAAAATGGAAGGAAATCTTTTTTAGTCTGCATTCTGGAAAATTGTGTACACAAAATGTTTTTATGTATGGTTATGTATTGTTTTTATTCTATTCATTTAATAAAATTTAATAAAAAATTAATTAAAAAATAAAATAAAAAGGTGCATAAGACTGGGCTTAGTGAAGACAAACATATTTGCTTTAATGGTTAAAGTGCCACACTGTCACCTAATAGGCGTCCTTGCCTTCAAATACAACTGCTGACCTTAAATTGCTAAAATTACTATGCACTGAAAAATACTTACCAAGTCTTAACTATACCCTGCAATTTCCCCTTCTGTATCTACCCAATGCTTCCAAATAAAGGTGTGCTGGTTTTAGTGGTTTTTGAGACACATTATCACTTAACAATATACTGTATTTTTCGCTCTATAACACGCACCCGACCATAACACGCACCTCATTTTTAGAGGAGGAAAATCCGTAGGCATGCCACCCATAGGCATTCCCTCCATAACACGCACAGACATTTCCGCTTACTTCTTAGGAGGAAAAAAGTGAGTGTTATGGTGCAAAAAATACGGTAATTCTTCATCTTTAGTCGCAGCTTCTTGCTTGAAAATTGTGACAATTGCCATGCACTGCAGGCTACAAGCTTACAATAGTGCTGTGTGATCCTCCCATCTATCTAGAACAATATCACAGGGGAATCTTAAGGCCACCATCTCAAGCCAGACATAAGGTGCTTAGCTTACTTTGCCACTGCAGGATGCACATCGTTATAAATAGATTTATAAATAAATTACAGATTTAAGTAGGTTTCACAGGAAAAATATGTTACAAAGAAGCAAATAACATTGCTGTATCAATAGTCTCAATAACAGCCTTTAAATCAGCAAAGGAGGCAAGCAAGAGGTCTTACACACTGTCACATACTTGTGTAAACGTGAGTGATAAAACAGTGCCCATGGTGACATAGCCAGTTCTCAAATAATCAGTCTGTTATTTGACAGAGACAGCAAAAGCTGCCCAGATTTCTAATTTAAGTAGTAGAATTTAGCCCCAATACAAATTAAGCTGTGTTAGGTCTATAGAATTCAGGCAGAACACCTATTAAGCTAATTTGTCTATGCTTTGAAGAACTGTTTATATCCCCCTTGTGGAATATATGGACTACACTGCTTAATTTTCAGTCATTACAAATAACCATAAATAAAAATGCTTCCTAATAACTGAGACTTAATAATCATATTTTTTTAAAAAAAATATCTCACTGGGAATGCTTTATTTTCATTCACAATCAGCTCAGCCAATT